ACAAAGGAACATTGTGTTCAGAAGAGAGTATAGTGAGGTTATTTTTAAGACTTGTGTATGAAGCTTTCACTAAAGATGAAGGCATATTTTGAACCGTTTCCATCTGCTGTTTCTCAGCATGCTTATGCATCATACTGTGACATGTCTTCTGCATGGAACTTTTGACTTACTCCATAACATCATCTTGCAGTTTCAAAAGAAGCTAACACTTGAAGTGGCAAGAAGCTCTTTTGAATTCATAAATCTTGATTTGATGCATTTTTCTCATTGATTTTTTTCTGTGTGCTGTGATGGTTGTGTTTGGTATCTGGTTTCTATAACGTTTGGTAATTTTTTCTCCCTGCATGGACTTGAAAAGGGTTAGGGAATATTGTCATTTGTGATACATGTTCCTAGTTTTCATATGCAGATTTCACTTATTTAAACAGATTTAAATGGGTATGCTGAGAATTTTAAAGTTCCCAAAGGATTGTTGTCACATTTATCTAGTGTAATTACTTGTGATCGCTCAACACTGTATTTGCAAATGTTTGAGTCTTAGTGGAAAATATCAGAGGCAGGCATTTCACAAGCATGGAAAAAGTGTTAACTGTGCATATTTGTAGTCGTATCTCTTCTTCGTTTGATTATTTATTTTATACTTTGTGGGTAAGAATAAGTTGTGATGCTCATTTCACTCCTGTACCAACTACTCTCTGCACCCCTGGTCCATATTTCATCTCCCATGTTTTATTAATAGGTAGTGTACCGCCATCATTTTAATTTTAGTCAAATCTTTACTAAAGCTCAGCAAAGGGAAACAAAAAACCAAAACACTGGAGCTCTTTGGCATGACTACATCTACTTGACTTTATTATATATTCATAGCAATTTAGATATTTTATATCCCAAAAAGTCATAACATGGACAGGAAAACCACTTATGGGGAAAGTTACTATTAAATTTCATTATCTGCAAAAACAAATATTTTAGCATGACAACTGGAGTGGATGCTTCCATATTACTGGCACATCTCTCGTGTGAGCTTGTGCATGATGTTTCCTGCTTGTGTGTGTGTGTGTGTGTGTGTGTGGTTTTTATTTTCTTCTAGATACTATATATGATAGAGCATGGTATGTCCATTGTGTGGAGTGAATAGTCTAACACCATTCACAATAGGAAAAGCATGATGGTTTATTTAGCTTGGTTTGTATGTGTGGATTGATTAGTGTAGTTTGTTTATTGATGCATATAATTTTGTTCTTTTACATTTGAATAATGCATTAACCATTCTGAAACTTTTCTTTGACTTGTCATTGTGAAATCATAGTAGACAAAAGGACACTGTTAGGTGTTTTGTGATTTTTCATTTAATTAATTAATGTGTATAGTAACTCTTTGGAAGCTTGAAACAAATCTTATTTTTTTCCCTTCTGTCTCAGAAGTAAACTGGCTATGAGTATTTCGCTGCTGGCTTTTACTTTTTTTATTTGCAACAAAGCATTTATTTTTAAAAATCATAAAGATAGATCTTCTACAAAAAAAATTAGGAGAAAAAGAGTAAGTCACATTTTTTGCCTACTAGCTTTGACAGTGTCCTTTTAAGTGTGCTCCCTAATTTTTCACATTTCTAATATCTTATAAAAATTGTGATAAGTAGCCTTGCCTTTTAACACTGCAAAGATTTCAATACAACTGTCTGATGGACAAGTCATTCCTTTGTGTGGCTGGTTGGTTAAAGAATATTTCTTCAAAGATATCTTAGATGATCTAGGAGCATTGTTGTGGGCCTTTCCAGTAACTTGCTCTCTCTTTCAAAATTTTTGGTACAAGGAGAATATAAAAATGCAATCATGGATTTGACCCAATTCTTATTGAAATAAATGGGAGTCTTTCAGTTTATTGCATCAGTTCTTATATCAGCAGAAGAATTACTGTAAATTGTGAAATGCAGCATTCTTCTTACTTTATACTTAAAAGCTCAAATGGAATGACTTATTTTACACAGTTGATATTCACTAAGCTTAAAATGGCAAGTTCTAATATTTGACTGACGTAATTCATATAACAGTTCAGACATACTCTGTCTAATAGAAAGTTAAAAAAAATTAACCCATTTTTATGAAGATATTTTTATATTTCCCCGTACATCCATGGACATTCAAAAACTGGACAGCCAGAAATACGTTTAATAAAAATGTTCCCATTTGAAATGGATGAAAATTATTGACATTTAGTTTCAGGTACAAACATCTCAATCCCTGTGGCCATTTGTTTGTGAATTACATCCACATAGCCTGCTTCAAGGCTTTGCATGATCTGTACAATACCAAGTGTAATTTTCATAGGTGCATGAATAATATGCTAGGTCACTTTATGCATTTCACTTATATTTACTTCTCAACAGGAGTCAACAGAAAGTTCCAATACGACTATTGAAGATGAAGATGTGAAAGGTATGATTAACAGTTGGAAAGGCAAAATCATGGCTACATGCATATATTTCAGTAGGTTTTATTAACTTTTGTTAATATGTCAGATGGAGGGAGTTCCTAAATAATCCAAGGAGAACATACTATTATTTTTGAAAATCATGTTCATTGCTGAAGTTCTATATGTTAAGTTCTGACTTTGATAGTTTAACTTTTACATGTACCATCTCTGTAGCATTTTGGAATAAGGAAGTTTCTCATTTAAAATTATAGTTATGGCAGTAGTAAGTGTAGATTTAAAAACTAATGACATTTAATATTATTTTAAATTTCATTTTGTATATGGTATTTTGAATTTTTTTTTTGTTTGCTTGCTTTAATTCATGTGTTTTTAATGCATTTTTTCAGATCAACATTTATAAAACATTTCTGTTCAGATGCCAGTGGTTTTTTGTGCTTCTCTTGTATTCTGGCCCTATAATTGTCTTAACTTCAGTCACTTTTTTCTTTTCTTTTCAATTTTCTGCACAATAACCTTCTTAATTTTGTAATCTTTTTGGTTATTTTTTAGTTTTTTTTTCTTTTTTGAATTCTTTTCTGTGACATTATTCATTCTTATTTTAATAACATTTTGTGGGTTTAAAACCAGTATATTCAGCTTGTGTGTTATATGTTTCATACAAGACATTGGTTTTTAGTTTTAAGTACAAAATTTTAGCTATAGTGGATCCACAAAACAGAGACAGGAATAAGAAGGGACATGATGAAAAATAAGAGGGGAAGTGGTAAGAAAAAGAGGGATTTCTCAGTTAATTAACCGTTAGAGCAGGGGTAGGCAACCTATGGCACTCAGACTGCCCAGGTCCGGGGGTCCCTGCATTTTAATTTAATTTTAAATGAAGCTTCTTAAACATTTTAAAAACCTTATTTATTTTACATACAACAATAGTTTAGTTATATATTATAGACTTATAGAAAGAGACCGTCCAAAAACGTTAAAATGTATTACTGGCACACAAAACCTTAAATTAGAGTGAATAAATGAAGACTCGGCACACCACTTCTGAAAGGTTGCCGACCCCTGCATTAGAGTGTTGGGCTGGTTTTGCTCTGTACTATACTAGAAGTGTTATGTTTGTGGGTGTCACTATTAAAGTGTTTATTAGCAGAAATATGCATTAAAATATAGATTAAAAGATGCTGGAGTTTTCAATAGCTTCAAGACTGTGAGAGAACATTTTAGAATATGAAACAAATTCAGTGGATGCAGTTGCTCAAATCATGTTTGGTAAACTGTTGTTTTATTTCTGGATAGTGGAGCATGCAATGTCCTTGTCTGATAAAGTAACTGGTGTTGCCAGAGTAAGGGACTGATAATGTAATGCTTTAGGACTCATGAGTATCTCCAAGTCAGAAATGTAATAAGAAATACAAGATAAAATAATTCTTTCATAAACAATGGAGTGTCCTACTATCTGGTATTCAAATGAACATCAGTAAACCTGGTGATATCCTACATATTGTCTATTTTAGACAGAGTTCTTTTGCTTAATGAGGTATATAGCTTCTGTTTCACTTTTATTTTGTGTGCTATAAAATTTTATCCCAGGGTCAAGTAACAATGTTCTCCTGCTAAGCAGTGTTGTATGGTTTGGTATATTATCACTTCAACAGGATCATTCATCTCAAACAATAGATAGAAATACCTATGTAGGCTCCAGAGAAAAACTTAGTTATAAAAAAAGAGGATGATGACAGGTCCATCAGTGCCCAGTCCCTGAAATATTGTGGAATTGATGGAATGAAGTGTAGCAACCTGATACTAACAGATAATCCCAGCTCCATGCCCCATACGGAAGGGGGAACATAAACATAAGGTGCCTGTCCATATAACCTGGGGTAAGTTTCCTCCACTATCCAAATGGTACTGATTAACTAAGTAACTTTCTTTCCTTTCTTATGTGCTTTGAGCAATGAAGTAGTGAACAATGTTGATGTTTAAAGTATTATTGGAGTTAGCTCCCACTGAAAGGAATGAGGCAGTTCACACTTCAGAGTGGTTGTTTCATGCTCCCTGCAAACGCGGGAAGACAATTGGTTAAGCTCATCTTCATGTACTGAAGGTTTTCTGTTGAAATGTAATAGCTAGACACATTTTTCCCCCAATGAAAGCTGATCCTCTGGAGAAAAATGGGAGGACTGTCTGCTGCCTACCTTTCTGGCTAATCCTTCATGCCTTTCTCCCCCCCACACACCCCCAAGGGGAGTGTGCTCCACCCTTTGGGAAAAACTTTTATATGGATTCAAAACACACCTACCTTAAAAATGTAATTGGAACTATCCAGCATTCACCGCTACCTGAATATATTAGGCTGAACTCAGTGCTGTGCAAAGCAGATGGAACTATCCAAGCTTAAGGATGCTTCTTGTCTAACCCTTTAGAACGTCCTGTTTACTTCCCCTTCCTATCACCAACACTCAATTCACACAAAATAGCATTCCAACATTTCTAAGTAAATCCCAGGGAACATGTGTGGTGCTATTATATAACTACTCCTCTACAAGTCCCATGAAATATATGACACTTACCTGATGACTCCAAGGTATTTTGGTCCCTGCAAGTTCATGTGACTGTGATCTCACCAGCCCAGTTCCTCTCAAACAGGTATTACCGAAAACCTCATCAGAAGGCCTAATAAACAAATGGGTAATGAAGCAGTCAAACCTTTATTTAATTTTTCCTTTTATTTAAGTAAAAGGCTATCAGAAAAACACCCAGCACAGTGTGCGATCACACCTTTTGCAGCACAATCTCATTATTAATAATATTTTTGTTCCCGATTACTGAGCAAAAGAATAATGGGAAAACTATTTTTAAACAGCCAGTTAATCTTGACATTTCAAAGTCAGGCACTGGAGATGATCACAATTAAATAGCTCTATGTAACTTTGTGCAAATTCAAAAATAAGCCAGTTTGCAAGCTTTCATCCACATATTAATGTAGCTAAATATTTCACATTCTCTGCTTTGAAAGACAGCTAAACAAATTTCTCTGAAAAATACTGGTTAGTTCCAACAAACCGTGTATTGCTTTTTCTTCCAAAGCAGCAGAGGCTCGGAAAGTGAGATTTAGAATTTCTTCCCGAATTTAATTGAAATTTAATTTAATGAAATTTAATTTTGGAAAGTATTGTCATTTGCAGTAAGGTAAGTTTGGGGTGTTTTTGTTTGTTTTTTGATCCATGATAGACTGTTGGTGCAGTTCCTTTGACTCCCCATTAAGATCAAAAATGAAAAAATTTGGAAAATATTTAAAACACTGTGGCAATATAAATGCTTCCATTATTACCTGCAGGTGCTTTGGATCCATTTATTGTAGTCATTTACGGTGTAAATGAGCCATTAGATGTGTTTAGGGTTGTAAACCTTTCAGGGCAGGGATTTTCTCTACTGTGTTTGTACAGCAATCAACACAATAGGGCTCCAATCCCAATTGGAGCTTTTGGATGCTACTGTAGTATAAATATTTACTATTAATATAGTGTGGGTGGAGGGAAATAAATTATCCAGAATTAACCACAGATGCTGTAGAAGCTCAAAATCATATTCATAATTATACGCTGCTCTGTTAGCTCCACTGAACAAGTTGACACTTGAAGAGACCTTTTCAGACTCAAAATGTGCACATTAAAATGCAGTTCATTTTGCTCTTTGCCTGTGTTCAACACTTCATTGACTTTCGTTTTGCTGTGCACTATTCATGGGGATGTCACAAGAAGGCAGTAGACACGTCCCCCAGAGGCCTGGATAATACTCACATGAGTTCCTTCTTCACCTAGGCTCACCTTCCTTCTTTACTTGCTGCTCAAATTCCTTAATTGATGATTCCAGGACAACTGCATCCCAAAAATGTGGCACAGGGCAAAGGTCATAGCATTCCAAAACCAGGAGAAGCATTGGAAGATTTTAAGAGCTATTGACCCATTTCTCTCCGTTGTGTTACATATAAGCTTATGATTCTGAGAGAGACTGATTCTGATGCACATCAGTGAGGTTATCAAGCCACAACTGCCCTTTGTTCAGGCTGACTTCAGACAAGGAGAATGTAAGGCAAACCCGTAGACAGACCAGGGCTGTTCACTCAGCTACAAAGACTCACCCCTCCAGCAGAGCCTTCAGTGACTCATCTCAAAGGCATGCTGGGGCAACTCAACTACACCAACTTATCCCTCAAAGCAGAGCCTGCAATGACTCATCACTCAGGCATGCCTATCCCTGAGCAGGGCTGAGGTCAAATTACCCCCCAGGCACAGGTATTGCCCTAACTTGCAGTGAGAGTGAATGCCTACACTGTCGACGTTACAGCGCGGCTGCGGCAGCACTGTGACATGGGCAGTGTAGACAAACTTTATTGCCAAGGGAGAACTCTCCCGGCAATTTAAAAAAAAAACAACCCACCCTGAACAAGCGGTGGTAGCTTTATCACCGAGAGCCGGGCTCCCGGCGATAAAGCGCCGTCTATACTGGCGCTTTTCAGTGCTAAAACTTTTGTCCCTCAGGAGTGTTTTTTCACACCCCTGAACGACTAAAGTTTTAGCGTTGAAAGTAGCAGTATAGACACAGCCTTAATCTGTTCAACATCACTACTCAGCTAGGAACTCTCCTGCTGCCTCGCAGTATTACAGGTGCCCTAAGGGTTGAGCTTGCCTTCAATCCTATCCCTGTTTCTGCCCCAGCCTTGCCCAAGCCTTGTTCCAGCCCACTTCAGACTTGTCTGTACCTTATTCCAACCTTGCTCCAGCCCTGTTTCTGACCCACTCCAGCCCTGCACCTGCCTTCTCCCCCCTAGACCATTGGACTGACTCCAGCCCTGCTTTGACCTACATCCGGACTCCGACTATAATCCTGATTTGGCTTATATATGGACTCTGACCCCAGTTCTTATCCATGGCCCGTCCCTGGATTCTGGTTTAACACTGCCCTCAGCTGGTCCTGACTCTGCCTCCAGCTTTGACTCTTGGTACCCGTCCTCAACCACTACTCCAACCACCAGGCCTGACTGCCTAGAACCTAGAGCCTGACAGATGGTGCACCTAAGATCACCTAACACAAGATATTGAACATGCCTTTGTGCCATTCTGGCAGGCTTGTCAGCTGCATTCAACACTGTCTAGTATGTGGGGCTGACCACTAAGTTTCTGCAGACTATTTCCTGTAAGCCTATGGTGTGGTTCATCATGGAAATAACAAAATGGAGCTTCATCTTGCAAGCTGGAGACCATCATTTGGCTTTGGAGTCTTCGTAATGCGCTCCTGCAAGGATCCATTCTAGTGCCTCTCCTTGTCAACATATATACTTATGACCTACCAACATGCGTAGTAATCTACAAAATATCTAAGAGTGATTCAGCAGGGACATGAACGCTCTGGCTACTTAGCTTCATCAGTGGAGACTTGCATTAAATGAGTCTTAAGAAGGTGGCTGCAACCTTCCATCTGAATAATTGCCTGGCCAATCGGCCCCTTACAGTTTGTGTTGAGGATCGTTCACTCCCTTTCCAGCCAGAGGTCACTAACTTAAGAGTCAAATTGGACCTTGGCCTAACATACCAGTCTCATTTAGAACATTTAAAGTAAAAGTTTACTTCCTGCACTGCCTTGATCCAGAGGCTAGCAGGAACCTCCTGGAAGCCGAGGCAAATGTTCTATTCACCTCATTCCCGGGCTGGTATTCTCGCATCAGTAGAGTAGTATGCAACAATTTGGGACAGAAGTTGGCATATGCATCTCATTGATTCGGAGATGAACACAACCACACATCATTAGTGGTCGTCTCTGCTGTACTTTAACATCTGATTTATATGTGGTGGCACATATAGCTCCCATAAAACTGTGGAGGATTATGAGGAATGAAAACAACCCGCTGAATACAAATCTGACAACAGGTGCAAATAAGCAACCCATACTTCCTATCAGAAGATCTACCCACTTCCAAAGAAAACACCTACACGTGTGTCAGGGTTCCCTCCCCACTCTGAATTCTGGGGTACAGATGTGGGGACCCGTATGAAAGACCCCCTAAGCTTATATTTCACCAGCTTAGGTTAACAACTTCCCCAAGGCACAAATTCCTTGTCCTTGGACGGTATCGCTGCCACCACCAAGTGAGTTAGATAAAGGTTCAGGAAAATGATCACGTGGAGTTCCTGTTTCCCCAAAATATCCCCCCAAGTCCCTTCATCCCCTTTCCTGGGGAAACTTGAGAGTAATATACCAACCAAATAGGTAGACAAGGTGAGCACAGACCAGACCCTTGGGTTTTTAGGACACTAAAAACAAATCAGGTTCTTAAAAACAGAACTTTATTATAAAGAAAAAAGTAAAAGAAGCACCTCTGTAAAATCAGGATGGAAGATAATTTTACAGGGTAGTAAGAGTTAAAACACAAAAGATTCCCCTCTAGGCAAAACTTTAGAGTTGCAAAAACCAGGAATAAACCTCCCTCTTAGCATAGGGAAAATGTCTCATGCTGCCAGCCCAGTGCCAATCTCAAATGAACAATGGCACATTAGGGCCAACTGCTGTTTCTTCGTAGAGTGGCAGCTACTCTGGAACAGAAGGGCAGGCGTGCTGGCAAACTTCGACCCTGAGTTACATCTACTTATTTGCGACCTTGGATGTAAATCATGGACTAGTCTTAACAGACTGCTGAGAGGAAAAGGCAGAGTGGCTGCCACAATGCAGAAATTTGGTTTAGCCCAATCCTCAGAGCGTGTCTGTGGTATAGTGTTTTAGCCCAATCTTCACCACCATTGTGTGGTAGGGATGCAGATGGTCTCACACATGGTGGAGAAGAACACAGTTAGAAGATTGGAGGATGAACATCATACTACCCTTGATGCAGTAGTCAGAGATGGCTGAACAATCTAATTATCGACTTGTAATGCAGAATAAAGAAGTTCCTTTTGCCCTGTTATTTTAGAAACCAGTATAGCTACAGAAAATTCCCAATTGTACAGTTTTGCTTAGTGTGTCACTGTCCACTTGAAAATAAAGAAGAGGCCTAAATGAAGTACTGTAGTTAGATTTTGTTTTTATACTCTCACTGTTTCCAAAAGAAAGAAATCCCTGAAAAACGTTGTTGGGTTAATACAGGTAACACAAGTTGGTCATCACATGACATTAAGTGTGAATAAAAAACAAAGTCCCATGTTTTTTCTACGTAGGTCTTGGGGTGTTTCAGATGTCTGTAGCACACAGAACAAGTGTATGAGGGCATGGTAGCTATGTAGGGAAGAGCTGCAGAAGAAAGGGCAGTATGTAAAAAGGTCATAAAAATACTCTTGAACTTCAGCAGAAGGCATGTTCAAAAAAGGAAAATTCTCAGTTCCATGATGTCACTCATCAAATTGTTCTCCTGGCCCATGTAGTTTTATTGTTTTTGCTTCAGTCATGATAAAAAATATTTGCAGAGACTATGGGAATTATAGTGGATACTCCAGTAGGAGATATTTTAGAAAGCCAAAATTAACACTTAATTTTGGAATAGGTTAAATCCATTTTCTTGAAGTGTGGTTTGATTCTGTAAAAAGTATATTATGGAGTCCCCATTTTTCATTTCTCATTTACTTCCATGCCAAATATGTATGCAATGTTGTTATAGCTGTGTTGGTCACAGGATATTAGAGAGACAAGGTGGCTCTCTAATATCCACCTTGCCTCTCTAATACCAAATATGTTCATTTTACAAGTAAAAAATTTTTTTTCTAACTCTCAGCCTTGCGAAATGAATCGTAGGCCTGAAAATCAAGGTTGGTTATTTTCTTCTCAAGCAACATCACCAGTAAGAAAATTATCTCATCGATGGTGCTTGTGGAACCTTATTGCCTTCAAGAAGACAATGAGATCCCCTAAGTATAACTTGTTAGCGCTAGAACTGGAACTTAGAAAACAATTGTGCTGATTATTTGTCAGAAGGAATATAATCGTCTCTCCCAGCTGAATCAGTAGCTCACTCTTTCTTAGCTGTGTTGACTTTGCAGGTAAAACACAGGGAACAAAGTACTAAGAAGTTGTTAGTCATTGAAGGCAACAGATACAATTCTGTATGCACATGGAGCAGATGTAAAACCTAACAAGATGTGCCTTTTTCACATAACGACTTTTCAGACTACAATGAGATTCCAAAAATGCAGATGACTTGATACTAGCTGTAGCAGTAAATGGGATCTTGGGAGCTTTGTTACAGTTAACCCCTCACTTGTCAAGGGAGTGATAGTCCTAATCAAAACCAGGGCAAATGTCCTCAGAGTTTCACTGAATACTAGATTGTGACTGTAAAGCCACAACCACTCAGTAGGAGAGGCAGGGATGTGCATTGCCCTAGCATGAGGCGTTATAGACTTTTTTGAGTACCCATGGGAGGGTGACCCCTCCTACTATCTTGGAAAGGTTTCATCATGTGTACTCCTTACGCCTGCTCAGCAGTGTTAACACTGCCTATTGTTCTCTCCACTCCCTTTTCCACTACATCTGGAGAGACTGGAACCGCTCAAGAGGTTCATAGGGCTTACGCTGGCCCTCTGCACTTGGGTAAATTTTTGCACTCATTGTACAAGGGGTGGGGAGCAGATTTCCTGTGCTCTCTTCCCCTCAGGTTCACACACATGCATAGCTAATTACAATCTAATTGTAGATTATGCTTTGTAGTAGTATATGATCTAGAACTAACTTTAATTAAGTCACTGATGTTGCCTTCTGTTCTCAAAATTTTAGTGTGTGATTTACCTTGACTTGAGCATGCTTCAGGTATATTGGCAACCAGTAACTTCTCAGTTTAAATAACAGCATAATGATAATGATTTCAGTTAATGGAAAGCAATAGCTTGAAGAACAATTAAGTTTATCTGCAATTGATGTGAAGAAAAATAGTTGCAGTGTAATTTATTTTATTCGTAATATCCTCCTTCAAACCATTCTGTGTAGTTTAGCAACTAACCTCATTAATTATATAATTTAATTATAGCTGAGCCTCTGCACTATTAGAGATAATGCCATGTTGATGATTAGAGATAATACCATATAATATGCCCATATTTTCTTGGGTTTATAATTTAACTATAAAAGTTTGTTGGAAACTTAGCTCATCCAGGAATGCAGTTATAAGAGAACGTAAATAAAAAATGTTTTGCTTAAGATTGTTTATTTGATTGTTTAATATCAAAATTAGCAAAGGTTTATATACCCTTTATACTCACTGTTTCCTGATATGAAGGATAATAACAATACATGTCTGAGTTAGAAGAGAGAGTGGTCCTGCTCCTGGTTCTGCTACGGAGCAGTTAACAAATGCAATAGAAACTAAACATTGTAGGGCAGAGCAGCAAGGGCTTGATAGCTGTTTATTTTCTAAGCTGTCCTGTCCTTGGAATGGTCTCCATTGCTCCTGATCCCATAGAAGTCATCTGTGTCCTGGTTAAATTAAAGAGAAAAGTGGAAAATTGGCTGAAGGACATAAGAGAACTCCTGTTAATGACCTTAATTACAAAAGTGTTATCAGGAGTCACGAAGCAGTCTTCTCAAGGGAGAACAATAAAGATCTGAAACACCTCAATAATGCTGCTGTGTTGTACAGCCTACACAAAGTCTAGTCAATACCATTAGGTGGAGAGAGCACAAGATGACTGTGCCTACAGATAGTGGCAGGCCCATTTGCTATTCCTGAGGTCCCCTGCCCAGAGTGTGGAGTCTCCTCCCTCCTTGCACCCTTGCAGGTGTAATCACCACATAGTGGGCAGGAAGGAGGTGAGTGTGCAGGGAGAGTGGAAGCTGTACCTGTGAAGAGACAAGCTCCTCTGCATGTTGGGGAGCTCCAGGAAGCATTGTGGCTCTCTGAGTCACAGTTCTTCCACAAATTCCCACTGTGGCACAACTCTTTACTCAGGGTTGTCCCTGTTAGGCAGTATTGGTTCCTACATTTTAGTGACCCTTTTGTGGACCCACTTATCCCTCTTGCCCCAAAGGATAATGAAGAATATTATTGTCACTGAGGCTGTTGAGATATAAAATGCAAAATACCATTTAATAATTTGATGGAGAATAAATATGTGGAATAGCTGATCTAACTGGAGCTGATGTATTGTTGATTGAAAATGAAAAATTTTGAAATGTCCGTGTTTCATTAACATTGCTGCTGGAGGGACTCTCTAACATTTTGCCAGTTAATTACAGTGCAGTAATAAAAGTTTGCTTGTGTGTTCCAGTAGAATACCTGATAAGATACATATATATTGGGGCAGATTATGAAGAGTTCTGAATGGAAGCAGTGACTTGAGGAATCCTCTTCTGATGTTGTTTTTCTCATTGTTTAGCATCAATCTGTTCAGGAATACTGTACAAGTTCCTATTAGACTCAGCAGGTATCATTCCTGAGAAAGAAGTGGCTCAGGACTATTTAGAGAAGCTGGACGAGCACAAGTCCATGGGCCGGCTGCGCTGCATCCGAAGGGTGCTAAAGGAGTTGGTTGATGTGATTGCAGAGCCATTGGCCATTATCTTTGAAAACTCATGGCGATCGGGGGAGGTCCCGGATGACTGGAAAAGGCTAATGTAGTGCCCATCTTTAAAAAAGGGAAGAAGGAGAATCCGGGGAACTACAGGCCAGTCAGCCTCACCTCAGTCCCTGGAAAAATCATGGAGCAAGTCCTCAAGGAATCAATTTTGAAGCACTCCGAGGAGAGGAAAGTGATAAGGAACAATCAGCATGGATTCAACAAGGGCAAGTCATGCCTGACTAACCTAATTGCCTTTTATGTTGAGATAACTGGCTCTGTGGATGAGGGGAAAGCAGTGGACGTGTTATTCCTTGACTTTAGCAAAGCTTTTGATACGGTCTCCCACAGTATTCTTGCCAGCAAATTAAAGAAGTATGGGCTGGATGAATGGACTATAAGGTGGATAGAAAGTTGGCTAGATCATCGGGCTCAACGGGTAGTGATCAATGGCTCCATGTCTCGTTGGCAGCCAGTATCAAGCGGCATGACCCAAGGGTCGGTCCTGGGGCTGGTTTTGTTCAATACCTTCATTAATAATCTGGAGGATGGCGTGGACTGCACCCTCAGCAAATTTGCAGATGACACTAAACTGGTAGGAGTGGTAGATACACTGGAGGGTGGGGATAGGATATAGAGGGACCTAGAAAAATTGGAGGATTGGGCCAAAAGAAATCTGGTGAGGTTCAACAAGGACAAGTGCAGAGTCCTGCACTTAGGATGGAAGAATCCCATGCACTGCTACAGACTAGGGACCGATTGGCTAGGCAGCAGTTCTGCAGAAAAGGACCTTGGGGTTACCGTGGACGAGAATCTGGATATGAGTCAACATTGTGCCCTTGTTGCCAAGAAGGTGAACAGCATTTGGGGCTGTATAAGTAGGAGCATTGCCAGCAAATGGAGGGACATGATCATTCCCCTTTGTCCAGTTTTGGGCCCCACACTACAAGAAGGAAAAATTGTGGAAAATGTGGCAAGAGTCCAGCAGAGGGCAATAAAAATGATTAGGGGGCTGGAGCACATGACATATGAGGAGAGGCTGAGGGAACTGGGATTATTTAGTCTGCAGAAGAGAATAATGAGGGGGGATTTGATAGCTGCTTTCAACTACCTGAAAGAGGGTTCCAAAGAGGATGGATCTAGGCTGTTCTCAGTGGTAGCAGATGACAGAACAAGGAATAATGGTCTCAAGTTGCAGTGTGGGAGGTTAGGTTGGATATTAGGAAACACTTTTTCACTAGGAGGGTGGTGAAGCAGTGGAATGGGTTACCTAGGGAGTGGTGGAATCTCCATCCTTAGAGGTTTTTAAGGTCAGGCTTGACAAAGCCCTGGCTGGGATGATTTAGTTGGGGATTGGTCCTGCTTTGAGCAGGGGGTTGGACTAGATGACCTCCTGAGGACCCTTCCAACCCTGAGATTCTATGATTCCCATCCTGCTCCTAACACAGTACACAAACTTAGTCCAATATAGGGAGTATTATTATTATTAATTTATTTATTATTCATTTAAATAACAAATATAAACCTTCAGCCAGTTTGAGTATATTTGTGTTTGCCTGTTCCTAGGGTTGCTCCTGGCAGCACCCCTTTGTCTATACCCGTTGTTCCCTCTATCCCTTGAAGTGATATTCAAACTATTTTATATCATGGATTAAAGGTGATAGGATCCACTTGTTCTGACAGCTAGAATGAGACAGGGGAACAGCAGCTTTGCATTATGCAAGGTCCCATAACCTGGCATATCTTGCTAATATATTGTGACTTTTGTAGTCACTGCCACTTTAAGGGAGTTGTAGAGGCTGTCCACAATAGAGGCAAAGGCTGGAAACTTTCTGCCTATGGAGAAGAGAAAAAGTTAGGATGCCTTCGGGGATTCTGGGAAGAGCACACTGAGAAGTTACACCCGGCTTATTTCTAGAGATGCAGCATATGTAAAAATGTTCTGGGCCCACTCCTAACCTGGCATGCCCACTTTAGAGTGTTACAAGTGCTTGAAGGTACTTAACATGCCCCCATTATTTTTACACTGTGCACAACTGAACAGGCAGCAGAATTGTGGTTTTCTCTTGTGCACATATACATAGGTCTTCCCCTACCCCACCCATTTGCACACGTATGGAGCAGCAACCAAAATGCAGTGGGATATACTCAACTTGTGATACGCACAAATCTTTTAATTTGTCGTCAATTAATTTGTTTATTTCGTAGGTTATTAATTTGAGTGTTTACAGACAGCATTACAGATATGTGGGCACTATGAATCTGTGCAAGACTTAATTTTCCTGGAGGATTCCTTTTATGCAGAGCATGTGTGTGCACGTGCATGTGTGCGTGTGTGAATGTATATAGGCATTGTGGTTAGTTAAGAGGTTTGAATATTTTAAAAAGCAGCCTGAGTTCTGCTTTCACAAATCTGTCTTCAAGCGCAGTTTCTTACTCCTTGACTTGATCAGAGACGTGCAGGGGATATTCTAACGTTGTATGTCAGGGCCTTATGCTATTGGTTTGTATTAGAAGGGAGGTATTTCTGTAATTTGGAGACAGTGAAACCAGAGCAAGAGTTCATTTTTCATACATTTTAATGTAATAGTTTCCATTTAAAAATAATACTGCAACTAAATGTGGATCATCAAACCATAGCCATGTACAGGTATGTATTTTTAAAAGTGAATTTTTAATAGAAACTTTCTTTATAAGACAATGGTAAAGCACAAGACTTCTAAAAATATACACTGGGACAAATGTTGTGCATGGAACCCTTTGTACCAGTTTAGGGCACTTGGACACATAAGGACATCACTGTAACTATAGATTATGTTGACATCCAAGTGGTAGTAAAGGGACCTGGAAATAATTGCAGCTGTGGAAATGAAGATGAGTTTTCAAATTTAGCTCAGTAAAGGGCATCTGACAGGAATACCTGTGGGATTTCTCCTCCTTTTATGAAGGTAGATTATGAGGCCCAAACACATCAACAGCATCTCTCCAGTGTAAGAATGGTAGATATGTTTTCTCACTAATATTGTAGAATACCGTCTTTATTTTTTGCCAGTAATACACCTAAGCTTTAGAGAGGTGATTTGTTGAATGCGAAATGGTCTGGATATCTAGATTTCTCATGATGGTGTGTCCCTGAGGATGGATTGATGTAAACAATAGTAAGAGTGATGATTTCCCATAGGCAAAAGTGCTGAGCTTCAGGGCATTTTCAAAGCAGATAAATTCTGGTTCATCTGTGCTGCTCAATTTGTCCATATGGTGGGTACCTTTTATATGTAATCCATTTAGGAAATGCTTACATATGATTTGTTAATTTGAATTCATTTTATTCTGGTTTAAAATTCTATGAATAAACCAATTTAAATTAAGCAGGTTGAATTATATATTGTTTGTTGTTTAGCTTACTTATTATTTTCACAAAACTAGTCTTTTAAGACCCAAAGAATATAAGAGTATGGCTCTTTTCAAACCAATTACATCACAGTATCCAATTAAAGGGATTGACATTTAGCACTGGCATCTGAACAGAGACATTTGTTGATACCACTGTCTCCTTTTCCTTGACCTCAACCCTCATTTCCCTAAAATGCATTGTTAATGTTATTTTTGTGTTCAGATATTTTATCAATTTGTTTGTGATTAAATTACCGTTTTTTTGGCCTTCTTTTTTTCTTTCCTCACATCTCCATGCCCCACATACAGCTTTCAAAAAGGAGGGTGACATGGAGAGGTTATGTTCTGCTCACCACTCCTCTTCTTCCATTGCTTCTTCATCTCACTGGTCACCATCTTTGCTGTGCCCCAGCAGCCGCTCCTGCTGTCAGTGTCTACTGAGGATTCTGATCATGCTCTACCTCTTCATCTTTGTTTGTTCATATGTTGTGTTTCTTTCCATCAATTCAGCGGCCAAGTCCATG